TTCCCATTCCCAAATCCCTTGCTGTCCCATTCCCAGCTCCTTTGCCCTCCCTGGGAGCGCAGTGGAAGCCCATGTTTGTCCCACACCAAGGCTGGGAGCAGAGGGAAGGGGGTGGCCAGACACAGGGAATGGCCGAGCATCCCCATCGGCTGGGGCCAGTGACGGCTCCGAGCTGCCGTGTCCCGCTCCATCCCCATCCCGGCTGGATACAAAGCAGGGAGGCAGAAGGGAGTCAAGCCCCGAGGGCCGCGGAAGCTGCAGTGCCCAGGGCAGCTCCCAAACTTCCCAGCGAGGCCGGGGGGGCCCTGCTYTCCCGCGGGAAGCGGCCGCCGCGGGGCCGGCCCTGGCACGGATGGAGCTGCCAGTAACTTTCCACTCGGCGGCTCCCGGGGGAGGGAAGGAGCCGGAGCCCCCGGCCGGAGCCGGAGGTGCCGGGAGGGCAGGGAAGGAGCCGGCACAGCCGGTGCCACCGGCCCCTGCCCTCCGCACGGACACAGCGGCCTCGCAGGCGCCGTCCTAACCCAGCACCCCCAAACCAGCCCCAAGCACCTGCTCCCCGAGCACATTCCCGGCTTCCCGGCTCATCCGCACGTCGCTCCCGGTCCCCTCCTCTCCTACCTGCGGCTCGGCCACTTGAGCCCAAAGCTCCCGGCTCCTCCAACCTTACAGCGTTTACCACCTTGCACGTTCCCGCTGCAAGAAGCGCTGAAAAGAAACATGCGACCTTATTTTCCGCTTGTTTTCCAATACAGTGAATTTATTATATGTTGCAAAATCAGCATTCAGCTTCTTGTTTTTTAGTGTACAAAAAAGGACACTAGCTCTTAAGAAAAGATTAGGAAAGCTGAAGACGATGCTGCCTTGGAACGGTAACATTTTGGCAAAGTGAAAAGCTCGTTTTGTAAACTCCAACTCCATGGCTCAATATAGTTTTTATCCACAGTACAATATTACAAAGTAAAACACAGTATCAATAAGTTAAGATCATACTTAATCACCTAGAACTGGTTTCTATTAACCCAAAAAGCACAAAAATCGCCTAGCTTCATAATCTCTAAAAATGAGGGGAAAAAAAAAGAAAAATAAAGGAAAAAAAAAAAAAAGGCATGTTTGACTACAATTCTTTAAGACAGTCCAAAAGAAAAGTGAAGCAGAAAGGTGTTGAATGCTAATTGGGTCTCACAGTTTGGATATTCATTAAATATTTTCAGTTTTATATTCAAATTTTAGAAGTTCCAGAATATACATGTAAATGTACACAATACATCTTTGTATACAACTCTGTTTGCAAAAATATCTTATAGCAGATGTATAAAGACTGAGATCCATCTCTATCCCCCCTCTCCCACCCCCAAAAAAAACAATAGTAATAATTAAAAAAAAGGCAATCCCCCCCCTTGGAAACTGGAAGGRCCAGGAGAAGGGAAGTGTTTCCATGGCAGATTTGTCCCATCATGGAGCTGCTGCCACCCAAGGCCCCGGTCCCTGCGGGGACAGGGCGCGAGGGGCCGCGTTTGGAGCCGCCCGGCCGGGCCCGGYGCGGTGATCCCGCTGGATCCGCCGCCGGATCCGTCATCGGATGGCGGGAGGAAGGATGCTGGGATCGAGCTCCGACGGGAGCCCCCTTCACGGCTCTTCCCGTGGGGAAAAGCGCTTCCCGTGCGCTCGGTGGCATCTCCCGTCCCTGGCAGGTCCCCGCGCGCCTCCCGGCCCCGTTCCCGGCGGGACGGCTCCCACCGCACGGCAAAATCCCAGGAAGCTCCGTTTGGCTGCGGACAACGCAATGGGATGGGAGAGAAACCACTCCGGAGGGACAGCACGCGAGCAATGGTCAGAATGGGGTATTTCTGTCTTTTTTTGCCTTTTTTTTTTTTTGTTTTTACAGCAGGTGGACCCACTTTTTTGGGTGGAAAAATTCCATTTTCCTTGCAAAAAAAGCCATTTCCCTCCTGGGCAGGGGGAAAGGCTCCCAGCGAGGGGGCCCGCGCAGGCCCCTCTGCCCCGTGGGGAGGAGCAGGCACCGCACGGGYTGCCAGGACTAAGCAGATTTGGGGGAAAAAGAGGAAGAAACCGCAGGGTTGGAGGACACCTTTGTGCTTCTGGGCGTGTTCCTCGCACCCTGGCCACGCTCCGAAAGTTTTCCCTTCGCGTCCGGAATAAACGGAGAGGAGAGACTGCAAGAAGCCGGCGAGATTCAGCCCGACCCGCGTGGAAAATGCTACCTTATTCCTCCCGAGCTCAGGCGCCTGTTCCGAGAAATGTGATTTTTCTGCTGCTGTTTCTTTGGAAATGCACAAAATAGAACAAAAAAGCATCGCCCCCCCCACCCCCCCCAGCCTTCCTCGTGGGTCTTTACAGGTAATAAAATAACGTCTCTGGGTAACTATCCAACGAGCTTTAGTAATACTGCAACTGTAAGACAGGAAAGGTTCTCAAACACTTGGCCTGAAAGGAAAAGGGAGGCACAGTTTTAGAAAAAAGATGCTTTTTTTTTTTCTTTTTTTTATACAAAAATAGACCATCGTCTCATTAGCAATTAATAAAATTGGCTGCCTTGGTATATAAAATTATAAAAGTCAAAGACAGACAGGTCTCAGTCTTCCCAGCATCGGAGCACGGAGGGCAACGCAAGCAGCTGGAGAGGCGGCCGCGGCGAGCGGGTAAAAACCCTCCTTGGCGCCGGCTCCGCGCGCATTCCCGGGCCATTCCCGGGCCGTTCCYGGGCACAAAGTGGAGGCGACAAAAGCGGGAGCCAACGGGGAGAGCTCGGGGGACGTGGYGGGTGCAGCGCACACGAACAGTCGCAGGTGCCACAGGAGGAGGTAACCTAGCAGCATTCCAGTTCCTCACCATTCCAAGGCCAATTTGCAACCCCGCGGGGCCGGGTCAGGGGGGATTCTACTTCATGCCARACTTTGAATCCATGACAACTACCATTTCTGAACCTCTGGGAGCTTCGTTCGCCTTAGGATAAGTTTTCCCTCGCGTGTCGAACGCTGGCTTCAAATAAGCAGGTTTTCCCTCGTTACATTCCGACGTTCCGGGAGGCTAAAGCTGGAGAGGGTCGCGCCGGGCGCGGGGCTGCTACCTGGCTCCGGCGCTGGATTTCTTCGGCATCGGAAGCCATCCCCAAGTTCTTCCGAGCACGAGAATTAACGCTCGTCGCTGAAAGGGAACCAGCTGTAGAAAAGGGAACGTAACATCCGGGTGATTTTTTTTTTCTTTTTTTTTTTTTTTTTTTTTTTTCTCTCCTTTTTTGCCCTACCCAGTCCGGATTAGCACCAGCTAAAACTGCTGTTGGTCGTACTCTGCTATGAGTTTTTTAATGTGGGCCAGTTTGTTGTGGAGGTATTCGCAGCGGTTCTTCTCTTGGCTGTAATTGGGATTGGTCTGTAAAGAAAGAAGAAGGGATGCGGTGACAGGAGGTGATTCCTGGAAGTCGGCGGTACCCGAGCTGCACCCACGGGATGGTTTCTGACCCCAAAACACAAGGACGTGACCGGGGAGCTTTTCTGGAGTTKCTCTGTTCAAACAAGCTAAGGAAGCAAATCCCTCCTTCCCCGCGTGGCAGGGCAGCAAGTGCAGCCTGCGGCGGGCTCCGGAGGACTCCGAACGGCCCCGGCCACACGCGGCGGCTTCCAGCAGGCATCACCCTGCCCTTTGCCCCCCACATGCGCACCGAATTGTGCAAGGCCGAGGGCTTTTAAACAAAGCGGCGGCTTGCARCACTTGGGAAACTCCTCAGAAAGCTCCCAAATCCCTCAGGGACAGCAGGGCTCAGGGCCCCATTCACGGCCCGTTAAAAAGAGGCCGAGGGCCATGGGTGCAGGGATGCCCGCKGGCCTCCGGGCGCTACCTCATCCAGCGCAGCCGTAAATCCCTCTAGGCAGCAACCTTAGCTTTAGAGATACCCGAGACTGCAATAAAGTATTGGGGGGGCCACACACAGGCCCCCAGCAGAGGCCCGTGGGGACAACGTACCCCAAAGTCCTGCTCCAGGGGTCGGGCTCAAAYGATCCCAAATATCCCCCGGACAGAGGATGCCCTTATCTCTCAGCCTGCACATGTGAAATGCAAACTGCTCTCTTGCTTGACAAAAACTCATTTAACTTAACGTACCCATTCTTTTGCTAATGTGCCAGGGACACAAACACGTTCAGGATCAGCAGGGCTGGACTCCCCCTGACAGGGCAGCCCTTCCCGGGCGAGCTCTAGCTGAATAAACTTGACATCTCCTAATAAAGTTCTGGATTTATTTTTTCCACTTGGCAAATAACCCATTTCTTCTGCCACTACAGACACTTTCCCAAAGCCTTCCCTGCAGCTGGGTATTTTTACTTACTTTTTTAATTTTCCGATATTCCTGTAGAATTTGATCATGGATCGTCTAAAAGGGAAAAGATGACAAGTTATTTTCAGAACGGCCGGTAGTTCTGCAACCTACTGTAGGAACTCGGCGTTTATCGAGGGCTTTATTTCCACGTTTTGCCCGAGTACAGATAAAAACTGACTCCTTCCATCCCTTGTCGTGGGAGATGTGACTGCTACAACCTGCCCCGCTGCCCCTCGACAAGAGCACGAGCCCCAAAGTGATTCCCAGGCCACAGGAATTGTCCCATTGCAGGAGCTACTCGGATCGACAGGGTCACTGGCACCTTCACAGCTCAGTTTAACTTTGCTCGGGCTGTAAAAAYAATTCAGGGAGGAATCACAAGGTTTCTGAGAAGGATATTCAAGGGAGGAAGCGGAGCTCGCTACAATAGGTGCTCTGTAAAGAGCTGTTTATTGTACTCAAGGAGACTTATTTTCTCAGGATAATGAATAGTTAAAGCTCTTTAAAAAAAAAATCAGTCTGACAAGTTGAATAATGCTACATTATTAAGATCAAAGATCCAAGAGAAACAGATGACCCTGCACTAACTCCCCTTCCAGCCCCGATACGCTACCATATGTGCGAATATGAGTTTTCTGGCTGGGATACACTAATAGCTTCCAGCAGCTTTTGGCTAGGGACGCCAATTGTCTCAGTGAGGCCTTTCCTTGTCAACAAGTCCGGTGATGTGGGCTCCAGCTCGAAAACCAAAGAGCACGGGGCTGTTTTCAGGACAGTCCCCAAAGCTGGGAGCCGTGCGCACGTTCCGCGGCCACCGCTCCCAGGCAGCCCTGGACGGGGGGTCTGCAGCGACCCACTCCCAGCAGCAGAAAGAGCCCCCAGAACAGCCACAAACGGCAGCGCTGCCACTTGCACAACCCGGGTTTTGAAAGATACGTGTGAAGATGATACCTTATATTCTTCAGAGCCTTGCAAAAGTTGTTTCAGCTGGGAGTCTAACTGCGTGAACCGTCCAGTTATCCTCTCTATCCGGGCGTGCAAGTCTCTGTACTCATTGTATTCTGCGTTGAAGTCGTTTTTGTAACTCTGACGCTGCTCCAAAGAGGAAATGGCTGCATATTTTCTAGGGGAAAAATAATTCAGTTAATCAGTTTAGAATTAACTCTTCTCTCCAGGCAGCGAGATTACTGAAATGCCAAAAACAGGGGGACGAGGCTATCGGGTGACTGCTTTTGAAAGCTACTGCAGTCTCCGGATTTCATTAGGGTAGCACGGAGATAAGTGTCAGGATTATTGCCTTGACCTCCCTGCAAAATAAGCCCGTGGTTGCTTCCAAAATTTCCCATCTGTGCAGGGCAGGGTGGAATATGCAGGTACAGCAAAGCCTGTGAGCAGATGAGGGGGTAGGAGGACGTTCAGATAGCACTGCTACAGCTTTTCTACTTTGTGCTGTCCCGCAGAACATGGAGTTCTGCATCCGTGCCAGACCTTGGAACAGCAGGAATACGATGCTTCCAGTGCTCCGAGCGTGTTTAAAGGAAAGGAACACAAAAACACCCAGCTATCGCTGCAAAACGCTCGCAGGATGATTACGTGGCAAGTGCAGGGCAAGAAACCATATTGAATAGACTGAATCTCTCCCCGCTTCTTTCCAAAGATACCCAGCGTGAATCGRACAAAACCCGAGGAGCTCATGTTTACCAGATGTGCCTTTGAGGCCTTTGGGAAGTTATTCAGCTCTACAAAAGGCTATTAAACCTGACATTTTACAGAAAGCCCAGCAGTCGCTCCTCTCTGATGGCCAAACTCGGCTTTTCGTAGGTGACCCCTCTAATTTTCCACCTTATTGTCAGCAACAGTGAGAGCTATGTGCAAGAACACATATAGTCTAATTTAGGTATCAAGCTAATTAGAGAAAAAACATCATGGCCTTAACTTAAAGCAGCTCTAGCCTTCAAAACCTCTGAATTCTTGCTAGGGGTCGGAATAGCAAAGCACCTGATCAGGATSCACCAGTCTAGGGCAGTTGTCCTCGCCAGTATGAAACGTATGGCTCCATAATCCAAAGAGCAGCGGCAGCTCTCCCATTTTTGCTGGGATTGTACCAAAAGGTGCCACAAGTGGCCCGAGTTCTCGGGAGACGGACCAGGGACCTCTCTGCAGGACGGATMCAGCCAGCACAACTGGTGCGTGTAGAAACAGGAGCCATCATCCTGCTCCTGAGCGGCACCAGCAGTCATTTGTACGGCTCAGAGACCAGCCAAACCACAGGTTTGTGACCACAGCAAGTCCTACGTATCCCCTAGCAGTGCGTGTCCCTGCAGAGCTAAGTGTGGCACCTGCTGCTCCCTTTCCGTGTGTCCGGGGCTGATGTGGTGGCACTGGGAGCCGGGCTGTGACACAGGCAGGGACCGTCACCCAGTCTGCGCCTCCTCGCTCCCATCACAGCCTGTTTGCAATGGGCTTGGCTTCGTGCACATGAAAAGCACGTGGGTTTCTGTGCTACAAGGGGCAAGCACTGTTTAATTAAACCTCAAGGGCACCTCATTAAGAAGCCAAAGGTGAAACAACCCAGGTCTTCAGCCAAGGGTTATAACCTCCCCATGAAGACTAAACTCCAAGGGTTTAGGTGGAGCTGATCTTGACTTTGGACAGAGGAAGGACTAGCTAACATCTCTGAATTATTTTGCCCTGTCTTCTATAATATTAAAGCAGATCATTTCCTCTCAGTCCCCATATGTAACATGGAGACCTTGACTGCTTCCAAACCCTCCTCAGATACGCAGTTTCCCAAAGCACCTGGGCAATTTTTTTCTCATAGGAAGGTAATCTTTAACTCCATAAGAAGAGAAAGAACAGATCAGATTCTAGGTTTAGTTTAGTTCAACCTTACAATAYTTGTAAGATTAGATTTACCTCTTTGGCTTTTTTTAAACCCATCTTGCAAAGATTTTTTTCAAGTAACGGGTACAAGAGAATCACTAGCACATACTGTTCAATAGCTAGGAGCCTGAYGCCAAAGTGATAAAGTAACTGATAAACATTAGCAATATTTAAGCAACTTACAATAAATAATCTGGCATTTCTGAAGTCGATGTTGGTACACTAGAGTTATTGCATGTTCCATTTAAACCTGAAAAATAAACACTTGTTTAGAAAACCTAAAACTTGTTTAGAAACCCCTAAACCTTGCAGCTACAGGCAAATCAACAGTAAACTCATAAACCCATCTYCAAAATAGAGTTCACTGCATTCTAAACAATTTCTGTTCTGCTTTACATTGACCAAAACCAGAAGATTATTACGAGGCGATTGAAACGTCAAGGCTTTGCTAACATTTGTCGGTCAACAAAACAGTATCCACATTAGGCAATGCACCGAGCAGCAAAACAGCCTCATTTAATCGGGTTATGARTATTGCCTGCAGGGAAGGAGAACAGATATCAACACTAAAGCACAAAGCAAATTTATGGGTCCAGATGAGCAGAACAAGTCAGAGCGAGGTGCACCTTCCCCCTGCCCTCATTCTGTAGTTTCTTACCATAGAGTTTCTTAACATTTTCAAACTACAGATTCTTATAGATGAGAAGGGAATGAAGACTTCAGAAGGGAYGGGATTCTGAGTGTGAGCCCAGGTCAGGCTCCATCCTCAACCTAAGCCATATATTGAATTACTAACCTGGAGGAAGGAAAAACCTTGCATACACGTCTGAAAAGGGACACTAGCCATGAAGTCAGTACTTTGCTGGAAGCCTATTCGGAAAGCTATGGAAAGACAGCAAAAATCTGGGGCAAATGGAGAAGGTCTTGAAGGATTTAACTCATCTCCTTTGCAAAAAGACACACAAAAGAAAACCCCAGAAAAGGATATAATGGTTCAGTCTGTTTGGTCTAAGTCTAGCTTAGAGCGCGTAAAGCCTCAGTTACACGTTTTCTCCAGACACTTGCAGGAAAGGTCTGTCTAAACCCCAAGCATCACTCTCCCCATTGGGAATTACTGGCCCAGGAAAACTGCAGGAAGCACGAAATGTCGAAGCACTAATAGGCACCTAAAGCAACAGCCTAATGATACCTTTAAAATGTCTAATTCTCTCCAAATTCACACAGAAAGGCTTCCCTGACCAGAAGGGAAGAAGGCAGCATCATCATGACCAGCATGGGCTCCTGCTGCACGTGTTGGTGACGCTTCTCCTTTCCTCCTGACCTGGGTGCTACAGCGCAAGACATGGAACAGGGCTACGGAAGAGCCTCGGGAAGAGAGGGAGGCGAGAAGGAAGAGAAGATTTATTCTGCCCATGAGTGCCACCTACTGTCTGCCAAACGGCCCCCGAGGGCCCTTCACGGCCCCCCCAACAGACCTCCCAGGAGCTGCTGCCGGGATGTTGTGGATGAGCCGGGATCGGGATCACGGYAAGGGGGGCCAGGACGAGGGCAGCGGGACCCGCACGCAGCAGGGAGCGAGTGGCCGGAAAGGGGCCRGGAATTGGCCGCGTCAACCCCAAGCGGCGTCGACCACATCCTGTTTACGCAGCTTTTCCAGCCCGGCGAGGATCCCAGGATCCGTTCGAGGATCCCTTCCCTCGCGCGGCCGGAGCAGCTCCCTGCTCATTAACAGCGGGCCGGTGATTAAGCTGCTGCTTTCACAAAGCCGGGCAGAAAASGTGATAAATCACCCGCAACTTGGCAAGGAGAGAAGTCAGAAGAGCTGCTGTTRAGCAAGAGGTGTTGGCAACGTGGAACCATCTGTATCTGCTACAGATCAGGACGCGAGATAGAGGGGAGAGCAACTGAAAGCATGCAAAAACCCAGGCCTGACACAAAAGCAAGCTCCAGGGAGAACAAGTACCGGGCTTTGTAAAACGCTGCTCCACAGGATCTCAAGATTCCCTGTTTATGGTGATCAGAATCAGCTAAAAAYGGCTGGGGAGCAATTAAAACACACGGCGGATGCGACGAGGAGCCAGGCTGGCTCCTAACCCTGGTGTGGTCTGAGCTGCCCCTCTCACAAGGGCTGCAGAGGTGAGCTGCAGCTGCAAGTTCCTGGGGTTTTTTGAGCCAAATTTGGACAGTTTTCACACACCAGCCTGAGGAGGGGCTTAGTGTGTTTTTTTTTTWAAAAAAAGGGGGAATAATGGGGCAAAGGAAAAGAAGATGGATGTGACAGAGCGGGAGCTCCAGGCTGCAGCGCTGCTAGAGCCAGCGCAGGAAGTCCCACTGCTTGGGAGAATTTTAAGAAGGTCTAATGCACCCGCGGAGAACAGGAAAGCAGCAGGCACTGGCACGGGAACGGGGCCCAGGAGCCAACATAYATTCTCTCCTCTGGTTTCTAAGAGGACACAGAACTGACTTTGCAATGCCCTGTCTCGCATTTTGTTAATCCTTGGGAAAAAGAAAAGCAGCTCAAGCTCCTGTTGGATACAAGGGGGAAGCTCTTTCAGAGCAGGAGAGCAGATCGTAGCTGGCTCCACTACTGTTTTATCACAAGACTTGTCCACCGCTTCTTTTGTATCCGATATTAAAAGCTTTTGTGACTAGGTTTTCATTACTGAGTTARAAATCAATACGACAACCATCCCAATACCCACCACAGGCACCAGAGCAGCAGGCAATCCACAAGCACCATTTCTTTTAGCCCCTCAATGGACCTTGATGTTGGTTACTCATCCTCATATATTACCAAGGCTTTTAATTCACCAAGGAGAAACACATCATGATCTCAGGTAGTTCCAAGCAGCGTAAAAGGTTAGAGGAAACACCTGATATCCTCTTTTTAGAGAGCAATCATTTGTTGATTTGACAGCAATATTATTTCATTAAGTGGAACAACACAGGCAATCTCTGCCCTCAAAAGGGTTTTGAGCACAAGTAATACATGGTTGATGCTGCCATTCTCAGCCCAAACTGCACAGGAGGATGTTTCAGAGCGTACGTACCTGTGACATCCTGGGGAACACTAACTAAGTCAGCATTTTTTATTACTTCACAGTCCTGTTTCTCCTCTTTGCACTTCTCGTCGCCCTTCTTCTCCTTCCTCTCTTTGTCTTTGTGCTTTTTGGATTTTTTCTTGCTTTTTACGTGCGCGCCGCAGTTGTGTTTGCTGGTCTGGGGACAGTCTGTGGGCAAGGGGTGGGCGAGCCTGTCGGCGGGCGCGGGGTTCTCACAGTCTCTGCCGTTGTGAGCCGGGTCGTTGCTGACATCCGAGAGGGGGTCGTGCGGCCTCGGCAGCTCCAAGGCCGGGAGGCCGGAGCTGGAGCTCACGGACTCGGCGGGCAGCGCGGCCGCGGCGCCCGCGTCCTTCCCGTTGGCCGCGCTCAGCTTCCCGTTGAAGGTGGCCGGGGTGCGRTGGGCCAGGTGCGAAATCCTCGGCTTCTTGTTGGCGAGCGGATCRATGAACTCCAGAGGCTGGGATCGTTTCTGGGAGAGCACAAAACCAAACAAGAAAACCAAACAAACCACCTTAAAAGTCTGCTGGGAGTTTCGGGGAGGACACGTGCTCTTAATGCTGTTGCCGCTAGATGGTGGTGCAAGACCAGGTGCAAGAGCGCGTCAGCACTAAAAGAGCCCTGCTTAAAAATAACAGGAGTGCCAGTAAATCCCTGCTCCCAACTGCCCCAGCCACCCTGCTGGGACAGCCTGTGCCAAGGTCCCCCCCAGCGGACAATCCAGCCCCAGTCACTTCCCGAAAATCCCGAGAGCTGCTGTGGAGCCCGGGGCATGGGGCAAGTGCTGGGGCTGCCCGAAGAAACCCACAAGTCAGATGAGCARTTTTTTATCTTCTGCACTGTTCCTGTGCAAGCCATGCAACTCACSCCGACCTCTTGAGGCTTTCATTTTCCAATTTAACCCTTTAAATTGGAACCCTTAAAACCTCGTCCTGCTCCTCCCTGCTGCTTCCYACTATTAGTAGAGAACAGAAATCACCCTGAAAACATCCTCCATCTCTCCTGCTTGTGGCACAGCACTTGCAGAACACCCGGAAGGGCTGAAGTCTGGAGGAGAGATGTGCTCTGGCCTCCGGAGCGCGGAGGGATTCACAAGTTCTGCATTTTATTCCCAACTGACTTTTACCAACCCTTAGTCAACAACCGTCCCCTTGCACCACACTCCTTCCCCTTCTCGAGAGGGACATTTCCTGGAAGAGGGGAGAAACTGTCACCTCCATAAGTGCTCAGCCCTGAAGGCAAAAGAGAAGACTGGGAGCAGCTTTCAAGGCCAGAGCTCATGGACCAGCAGAACTTTAACATTCCTCAAGTGGGGAAAAGATGTAGAATGGAGGCTTCCATTGGGGAATCAGCCCTATCTGGGCAGCCATAGGGAAGGCTTGGAGGAGAAAGCTCTACATGCCCGTTTCTGCACATACAGGGTTGTCTGCAGGCTAAGCTGGGCTCAGGGGAAGGTACACTGAGCGAGCCCAGCCTCCAGGCAGCAAAGGGAAGAAAAAAAAGCTTAATTTAGAGCCAAAAAGCTATGGCCATCAGGCTCGATCCAGTTTGAGGCAGCTGRAATTACCTTGGACAGCTATCCGTGCAGCGGTGTGCGCCTGCCTGGCAGCAGCACATCTGAGGAAAGATTCTTTAGTGCCCAGCRGAAGACAAGTGATAGTTCTGGATATTTCTTTTGGATGTTTTACTGTTTTCCTTACTGTCTCCGGCAGCGCTGCAATGCGCCTGCAAAAGGAACTTTTGTTCTGTCCTAAAAGTGCAGCGGTAGCAGCTCCGGCTCCCMGCTTTTCCCTGCTCTTGGTTGCCAGCCCTGGGCCCATGAGGATGGATGTTGGGGCTGGTGATGCCACCTCCAGCTGGCAAGTTGGCTGCTCCCTTGTCACCCAGCTCTGGGGACGGTGGCACTGCCACGTGCCCATGGGCTCTCCGCGCGGTTCCCCTCTCCGGAGGGGGCACGAGCCATGTCCATCTCTCCAAGAGGAGGGAGCACTGGGATCTGAGCTGCTGTCCACGCTCACCTTGCCTTCATGCTGGCAAATACCACGGGCAGCAGCTTCACCTCCTCACTCTGCCTCTTGCTTCTGTKGAGTTATTCAACCTACAGCTTTCTTGCTTTCATTCTTCATCTTTTTTTTCCCCCCATTTTGTGTTTGAGACGATCAAACCCTCGTCCTCTCCCGGGAGGGCAACCACCAGCACAGCCTCTGAACAGAAACTACAGCTACATTTATGCAGCATCAACAAATGAGCCCCTGCAATAAGCAGCTGCCCGTGGTTTGCTATGAGCAGCCATAAGAGAAGCAGTGCTGGCAGCATCCAGATCCCCTGCTCAGTTGCTGCTCCTTGACTACCTTTTTCTACCTCCCAATGAATCAACAGCCCAAGATTGTGACCAGCTAATGCGTAATCCTGGTGACCCAAAACATCTCTACAGCCCCTCACGTCTTTCCAAACACGTCAAGCCAGGAGCAAGATGGTTTTTCACCTCTTGACAGCACAGTGCCTTTCCAAATGGACTCAGAGGAWGGGGATGGTTCGTTATTCCCCAACAACACCCACTACAGAAGAGCATTTGGACTTAGCTACCTGGCAAACAAGTCGCACGGATCTTGTTCTCCATGGAGAACTGCTTTCCCTCAGAAAGCACGTAATTTCCTTACCTGCTAATATTCTTTGCCACTAATCCTCAGCGCATCTGTCCAGACAAGTAAGCATTACACATTCCACTGGCAGCGGGAGGATAAATACTCAACTTGTCTGGACTGACCCGCAGGAGAGGGGAAGGAGGTTTCGCAATCCCAGCGCAAACCGCCTGAACAAAAAGATACCAAGCCAGAAAAACAAGGGCAGACTCTGCTCAACGCACGGATCCGCGTGGTTTATCATCCTTGAACAACAGCTGCTGCCACTAGAGAGCAACGGCAGCATCTCTGCAGCGCTGGCAGTGGGAAAAGCTGCTTCCAAGAGCAAGTGCTCTGCTAGTCCTCTTAGGGCCAGGCTGCCCCGGCAAGAAAATGCCCCAGATAAAAATATTTCCAGCTTAGTCGCATAAATGTTTGCAAATATGAGTTTCTTCTGCACCTGAAAGATCTTCAACGGCTGTTTAAGATTATATGAGAGGCCACCTGAAAACAGTGAGTCTTAGGAAGGTGGCAGCAGGCCGAGGCACCAGTAAGAGGACACATCTCCAAGATATCCAGTGACCAGAAATGGTGCTTTTCACCGACTGCCTCATGCACTGGCATCTCAACAAATCAAAGAGCAGACCAACCTGCCCCTGATCCGTCACAGCAATTAAGGCTGCAAAAGGTCAGGGTTTTTAATAACTCAGCTGTGTTTGGGAGCTACTTATTACTGCTTCGTTCCACTCAATTATCGGTGGTGGCTAAAACACAAGTTCACGTTTGCCCTAAGGGATTATAAGCACTTCTTAAAATTTATCCCTTAAAATTAAAGCTGAGAGAACATTGTGGGGGGGGTTCAGCTGCAGACCTGAACCCAGAGGAGAAACAGATCTGGAGGAAGCCTAGAAACAGGCCCTAATTTGGGGGGAAATCAACACAAAAGACACTTATCAAACCAGCAGCCCTGAAGAGCAAGGGGCTGCAAACTAGGGACAGGCTGGAAAGCTGCATCCAAGGGAACCCCCTACCTGCGGCGGGGAGCTGGAGTTCAYGGTGTCTTCAGGCGGGCTCAGGGAAGGCGCTTCTGCTTGGAAGCTGCTGCTGTTCTGCGGCTGACAGAGTTTCCTGCAAAAAGGGAGAAGAATTTAGGGTTCCTTAAAGCCTGCACCTGGCCAAGCAATAGCTGCTATTGCAAACACTGCTTGATAAGCAAGACTGCGTTGAGATTTACTTCGCTCTCATCACGCCGGTGTGTTAATTCCCATTATCCCTGCTGCCCAACGGGGCACTCTGGCTCTCGGAGCCAAGTTTCGGAGAGCTCTGGCTCTTCCCTCCGACCCCGARCCAGGGAGCCCGTCTATCAATCACCCGAGCGCCTGTTGCATCAAGCTGCAGCTGTCAGGCTGGGGGGAATCGGGGTTAAAGGTTTCAAGAAACCAGCTCTGCAGTCGTTTTGCCACCAGCTGGACAGGCCAAAGAACCCGTATCTACCTCCTGCTTCAAAGGGCTACAACCAGCTTTGTTTTCCAGACATCGGGAGGATGATTTCAGGGAAATCTTTGCAAGATTTGCTTCTAACTTGAATGCCTGGCTGTCGTGCAGCAATGTCTGGATGCCACAGCTTGACTGTGCTTGGGGCTTAAGTTGCTGCTTGTGTTCATTTTATTTAGAGCAATCTCAAGAGCAATGGATTCAGTCCATTGGATATCACACCAATGGATATCACAAGGGTATTCCATAAACACCGAAGCAAAGGGGCTCTACTCCCACATCTCCTAACTGCTGAGCAATCTGACCACATCTCCTCCCGTGTTAATTATGAAGTAGTAAATGAAAGTTTGCTACTGTCAGACCAGCAGCTCTTGGAACAGCGGAAAAGCTTCAGAACGGTGCYGAAAAAGGGAGAAAAAAGCAATTGAGCCAACATCAGCATGTGGAAACAGCCCTACAATTTGAAGATGTGTTAATTATTGCAACCGTTCAAGCATCAAGTGACCTGAAAACTGAAGGGACGCTCAAAAACCGTGTGGGTCCAGGCGAGGACGGTGACGAGCGCTGCAAAGCTCCCCGGCCGCTGCCCGGCCCTCTTGGTGAGTGTTTTTCTGCAGTCTTCAACCCAACATGTTTTTTCCATTTTGTAGCCTCATTACCTGCATTGGCTGAGTGGGTCTTTGTTTGTACAGTTGAAGACATCCTTTCCAAGGTCTATTTTTAGACATGCAGCATAACTGAACGCCACGGTAAACAYTGCTTTCTGCAGGCAGAAAGGAACTTTTGGGGGAGCCAAAAAGATTAYATGGCACTTTACTTTGCTGTTTAATTAAAAATCAAGATCAAGGCCACATAAATTAGTTACAACTGTTTGGTTTTCCTTTAGTACGGCAAAACACCAAGTGGAAAATCGTTGGTTTAACCAAGTCTCCTCTTTGAGGCAGCCGTGCTTTCCAATCAGCCAAAGCGTCCAAACAGAATGCACTCCGCTTAGTATTAACCAAAAGCACAATAAAATAGGCCTAAAAAAAACCAAGTCAAGTAATATCCCTGCCTGTGTCACAAAATCCAGCCAAAATCCAGATAGTGAACCATAGGGATCCAGAGCAGAATTCCCCTTTGGAAGCCTCCAAGATTTTCTCTCCCTTCTGCCTGCCAGCCAAAAACTTCAACCTTGGAGGCTTCATTTAAGTAAAAATATCTCTAGAGGGGAAAAATGCTTAACAGACAGAGACAAAGCCACTACCTGAACCACCTCTGTTAAAAGCTGTTTTAAGAAGGAATATGTGAACAGGCAGTGTGCACGTTTAAGAGTATTCTTGGACACTGTAAATGACACTTGATGGCAGAACGACCAGTCTGGGTTTCAGGGAACTTATTTTTTCCTGAAAAATAAGGGAGTAAACTCCAGGGAACTGAACTATGCTGTGCTTTTTGAACCACATTCAGGCATCCCCTTCTACAACCAAACCTCAGTCTTGCAGGGGATCTGACACTGTGATACCTAACAGAACTGGCAACATAGAGAAGGGAAAACAAAAGGCATGCAAATAATAGAACTTGCAGAAATTTGGTGGCAAAGTCTCCAAAAAATAACTCGGAAAGGAGAATGCACGAGCAGAACACAGAAGCAAGACAACAAGGGGACATGAAGCTTGGGGACATGACTGCAGAGTCATTTTTCTCTTGCTGCCTTGAAAAAACAAGGCGGTCCGCACGGGAAATCGTGGACACGGAGATATGGAAAAAGGGAAGGAGAGTTTCAATGGAGAGTGGAACTGGATATATTTGCCTTAATCTGCTCCTCTTCCAGGATTCTAAACCACTGTTTGCTTTTAATAGTAACATTTTTTCTCCCCATCCACATTCYTGTGTTGTTTTTGGTATAGTGCATTAAATCTGCTGCAACCTAGTAATTTAAGAAYACACGAAGACTGAAGGCTGCATCCTCTTTGATATTTCCAAATTCAGTCGCTTTCTACACTTGCCTGGATCACAGCCACGTTTTATGGCTAAATAATTGGAGTTTAGCAAAGCACAACGGCCTTCTGCTGCTCTGATCTAGGGCAGCTGATCTGGCCTGATATTCTCAAGCTCTAAATGATACCCCAGAGATGGAATAATCACCGAACAAGGATCCTCTTCAGCAACTGCTGATCTCCTTCAGAGTAGCCCGGCCAGTCCTTCTGCACTTCCTTGTATACAGTGTCTTTCAGTGTGAAAGTGCTGTCCTTGGCGCTCAAATTTGCCACCTGAAACAAAAATAATTTGCAAAAACAGTTAGGATGCAACTTGGACACTTTTTCTATAGATATCTAAGATGTTGGTAAGGTTTCAACAGGCTTAGTTGTAGTTAGTGGTGTCAGTGAACAAGTAAATACTAAACGATTTGTTTCTAAAACATTTTAAAAAATGCGCCTTTGCCTTAATATAAGTAGTTTAATATTAATTTGCAAAACATATGCAAAATTTCCCATGAAGCAAGTCACATATGTAAAGAAATTATTCGGCATGGATACACAGCCTGCAATGGCACAACATGAGTTTATGGAACTACATGGCGAGTAACCCTATGGGGAGCAGGCAGTGCCCTTAGCCAGGCTGCCCAAGAGCGAAAATGATGCAATTTCTCAGCTAACAGGGGAACTTAATTGGTGACAGCCTGGTTAACCACTGCCAGACGAGTGCTTCTCATTAAGAAATAGAACAGAACAGGGAAGCATACTTTCTAGAGAAGCAGCAAAGGGAACATCTTGTAAATATGCTGTATTTGGGGACTTGCAGAGCAAAACGTGTGCTCCCTGTTTGGTCAACCAGGGCTTTGCACTGAACTGACAGCGCCTGCAGCATGTGCAGTCAGCTCAGCACAGACGCAGGGGCAGCTTTTCTTTGCTTTATCCAACTCTATCCTGTGTAGTTTCCCCCACAAAACTCGGGCTGGAGCCTACGTGGAAACACTGCTGGACCCAGCAGAATTGTAAGAGAATGGAAACAACTTGTTAGGAGTTAGCCCTTTAATCAGTATTTCCACAGCCTGCCTGAAAATTTAACCTCTTGCTGAAGGTTACTTGCATGAAAAATACCATGTTTATTTAATACAGAAGACTTTGCTGCATCTAATAACTCAACTTTCACCAACTGTGTGCGGCCTCAGGCAACGCTTGCTTGGGAATTGCAGAGGACTCTGAGTCTGGAAGGAACTACAGAACTTGGACAACACCAAGCARGGAATCCACATTGTAGAGAGGGAAGGGGATGGCTGCATTTAGGAACTGCTGTTATCCACACAGCTAGGAGATATCCCCAGAAAAGCAAATGAAGCAGGGAAAATAATCTTGAATTAACTGAAGATGCTGTTAATTCTTCTGCTTTTGCTTTACAGAGCATTTCACCCCAAATTGTGAAGCTACACATGTGAAAGCAAAAAAAAGCTCAAGTAGTAAAAACAGCAAAGCACTCCCAAAAAGCAAAAAAAAAAAAAAAAAAAAAGCACAAGTTATCAGTTTACATGACGAACACTTTGTTTTTCCTTTCGGTTCTGTCAGCTTTCCAACATCCTGAGCCAAAACACAAGAAGAATTTGAGCTGTGTTTTACATTTAGATATCCCAGTGCACATGCCCCAGGGAGGAAAGCAAAGGCAGGTTTGGTTTCAAAACCTCCGGGACTCTCCTCTCGTCGCCTTCGTCGCTTCTCCCTCCTGCAGCGACGCGGCCTCTTCTTCACCAGGAGAGCTGCAGCTTGGCAAAAATACTTGTTTTCCTCTCTGCACAGAGGCCCGAGAGCTGCAACCTCYGTGTTTTGCTGCTGTGGGACTCTGCAAGCTCCACCCCGAGCCTCCCCAAAATAGAAACCTTGCAAAACGAGGCAAAAAGGCCAGCGGGAACAGAGTCCTGCGAGAGATGCGGGAGCGCGAGGAAACCCACACCTAGACTTATTTAGACCTGGAGCTTGAATGCAGCCTGTAATTTTTAGCTTATCTGTGCGTGGTTGTGGAGGGGAGCCCTGGTAGTGCTGGAAGGAGATAAGTTTACAAGCAATATATTTACAGCCAAATCAGCATTTGCCCCAATCCAGCTGACGCTGGAAATGCGAGCAAACACAGCACCAGGCTGTTGCAACAGTCCCGATAAAACATGATTATCCCAAACAGTATTTCCAGGATTTGACATATTTATAGTATTCAAAAAGTGCTCAGAGTAATTCTAGCAGGGCTGGAAAGTCAGGAGAATGGAGCTAGGGGCCGGATATCCAAGCAAGGAGTGACTAATGCCAGCAGTAATTCCATTTTCAGTATGATCTGGCCTGTGCCCTTGTCCAAGCTGAATCCYCATTCTGTTCATCCATGGAAAGGAGTAAAGAAAAGAATTCCAATGCAAAAAGAGGACAGATGCAGCATTTAAATAAATATCCATGATGGGCTTTGCATGGTGAAAGCAATAAAGATATTTACTGCAATGCCTGAAATGGCACCTTCAACACGGCTCGAGGAGAAAAGCCCTGATTCMACCAGGAACAGCTTTAATTCCCGACACAAATCGTGGGTTTTACAGGGAGCTGCATGATCCTCACACCCAACCAGCAACATTGCCGAGCAGGAATGACCTGGCTGTGAATGGTGTAAAAGGGTAAAACAGCTGGGATAGATGCAGGCTGCCTTCATATGAGTCACTGAATCCTTAAGGTCGGACGGGACCTCTAGGGATCACCCAGTCCAAMSCCCTGCACACGCAGGTCACCCAGAGCACCCGGCACGGGCTGCGTCCAAGCAGGGTTTGAAGATCTCCAGRGAAGGAGRCTCCACAGCCTCCCTGGGCAGCCTGTGCCAGGGCTCTGGTGTCCTCATTACTAAGAATTTTTTCCTTAAATTCCTGTGGAACTTTTGGGGCTTCAGTTTGTGGCCRTTTCCTCTAGTTCTATGGGTGCCCACCACTGCAAAGAGGCCGCCCCATCCTCCTTCCTGCCTCCCTTGAGGTGTCTACAGACACTGCTCAGGTCCCCCCTCAGCCTCCTCTTCTCCAGGCTGAACAGGCCTTGTTAATAAAAAAGCAATAGATTTATAGGTTATAATAATTCCAACAGCTGTCAGGAACAGCGAAACGCATTCCTCTTAGGTGAGTGATCTAGTGAACTGAAATCAGTTACACGCACTGAGTTGTGTGTACTACTGAGTTGTGTCCACTACCTCTTAAAAAGTTAGTGCCACAGATTGTGAACTTGTTTGGCCTTTCACGAAAATAAAACAGGCTGCAGCTTTGACATACATGGGTTTCTTTCAGACTAATAAGCAATTTGCTATTTTGAGAAGACATTTCCTTTTACCTAAACTGTTGCCTTCATCGGAGTACAAACCTGTTGCAGGAGGTTGTCCAGCAAATCCTTGTCCTGCTGACAAAGTCCGTCCTTCTGCAATCTGAGAATAAGCTCGGGTTTCTTGTAAGGCTTTAGTGCCAGTAAGTGCACCACCCTGTCTTTGAAGGGTCTCTGAGAAATCGCACTATTGCCTCTCTTTATTGCACTGGCCAGGTTGACGGGCGTTGGGCGCTTCCTGGAGGGAACGGCATCGGCGGCTCCCGGCGCAGGTTTTCGCACCTGAACCTTTTTGCCTAAAATGAGAGGAGAAAAGTGAAGTGGAGCGGTCTCCTTGCAGAGCCCGGGGGSTGTTGGCATGTACAAGGGTTCGTTGCAGACCATTGGAAGCGCTGGAAGACGACAGTGAAAGACGAGCACAACCCGCACATCCCGTCTATCCCAGTGCACTGCTGGAGCAAGGAAGCACCCCATGGATTTTATGGGTTGTGACAAGCTTGTACCTAGTAAACAGCAACGCCAAGCACTGCGAACCTGGGTATTACTGGCTCCAAGCCTACATAAAGCGCTCTTTGTTTGCCCGCTTTCTATTCATCACAAGTGCACGTATCCCCACGGTTAATCTACCCATTTTTTTTTTTCCCTTGCCCATGAGAGGAAAATTCGGCATTATTATGCAGAAGAGTCGAAATATGGAGTGGAAGGCCCAGGACCAGTCAACGAGCTGCTCCCTGCTGCTGAGCTCAGCGAAACGGCGGCTCCCGCAGATGGTTCTGCTTTTGGAACAATAGCAACTTTATGGGGCTGGTCCCCTCCCTTCCCCCCGCCAGCCCGCCCAGGACGGCCGGGGCCRGGCCCATACGTTAGCCTATTCATTAGCGTGCTGCTATTCTAACGAGCTAACCCCTTCTGCACTGCAGAACCACCGCGTCGTCCTCCAATTAWATCTGCACGCACTCGAGAAGGCATCAACTGCCTGCAGAATTCCTATCAAGCCCTACGAGCTGCTGCAACTCCATCCCAAACGCCATTCGCCTTTTGGGCTCTATTATTCCAGAGCTCTTTCCTCCTATTATTAAAARGCAAAAAATAACTAGAGTCCTCAAAGTCCCACGTCACTTAAGAGAGCAAAGAAAACGCCAGGTTCCTACCAGCAACTGCCAAGTGAAAAAGAGCAGATCAAAACATATTAAGAGGTGCCAAGGTGCAGGGAGATGCCATTAGCAGTCCCCTCAGTTCATCTCAGTGACCTTCCCTAGGACAAAAAAAGCACAGCGGGATTTTTTTTCTTGTTTTTGCAAGATTTTTGGGGGAGTTTTATTTCCGTATGGCAATTCCCCACTGCTAGGAAGCAATGGTTTCAATTGAGTCACCTAAAGAGCCCGGGGATGGTCTGCAGTGGTTGCTTTAGTGACGTGTAGGTTGCATAAGGAGAGCCCCAATTCTGAGGTTCCTATCACACATCAGCTTGATGCAAGTTAAGTCTCATCCTTCATCATCACAGCCGAGAGGGAGGAAACCAACAGTTCACACATGAAACATCCCAAAATTCAGAGATCCCCTGGASTTCGGTTCCAGAAACAGGACATGAAAAGACTCGTAAGCTTCTAGAACTGCTTTAACTCCTGCCAGGTCATGAACAGCAAAAATATATTGTGACATTTCCACTCAGGGCCGTGGCCAAAATGTGCAGCAACAGGAATGGAGAAAATTATGCTTTTTTTACAGGCTCGTACCTCCATTTTGGAGCAGTAAACATTTAAGTGAGGGTATTTTAAGCCCAAAGTTTTGCTGTATCTTTCTGGGAAGCGATTTGCTCTGATAATCTTTTATTTCCTCTCTCTCTCTCCCTCTCATGAGCCTAACAACTTCATCCACTTACTGTAATGTTCTCAAATATGAGCTAAACAAAATAATCTTCTAGTCTACAGGAAATCAATGCGTTTCCTTCCTGATTACTATCTTATTTCTCAGCTTTGAGCACTTGGCTGATAAAACAATGAGTCAGGGTCAGCTCTACGTTTTGCAATTCACCCTTCTCATCACAGACATCCTCCGAGAAGAAACTGGCKACCGGATCACGTGGGCTGCAGAAAAAGCAGCTGGCGCAAAGGAAAACCCCAAATGCTGCGTTCTGGTGGATTTTGACATTTGGGGCTGTGGCTGAGGCAAGCGGAGACCTGAGCCCCTTATCACATTTTCCTGCTACTTATCACATTTTTGGGTTCTCCTCTCCCTGCCCTTGCAAGATGCTATTCCAGGGGCTGCAGGTAGTTGATTGATGCTGATTAASACGGCCTGCCCCTACCTGCCTTGTAGATGCTGAATGCAACCATCCCAAGGGCCGCTCACTAGCTGCGGGACAGCACTGATGCCTCAGCAGGACACGCTCGACGTCCCCACATGACAAACAAGAACCAGGCCCTGATAACGAGCAGCCCGTGTGGAGGCAGCCCTCATGCAACAGAGCCAAGGAGAAGTCCCAACACAGGGAAACCGGCACCACCACTTCCAGAGAGCCACCAAGAGCTACCAGGAACCTGGCCTGCACAGCCAGGCTACTCCCAGCAAGACCAACACGAGCATTTGGTTCTGAAAGCAGTGGAAGAAACGCCCCCAAATCAAGGTGCCGCTTACCGACGTATCTGCCGCCAGGTTTGATGACTATGGCGCTGCGGCTGCGCGTTTCCTCCTCCGCCTGCGCCATGCTTTGCCTCGCCTTCTGGTAGGAATCATCCGTAGCGCACACGGTGATTTTATCCTGTATGCTCCCAAGGCAGTCCAGGTGGATATTGCCATTGCTGCAAAGGGGAAATGAAAATCGGAATGGAAAAGAGAGCCCCGGCACTGCAAATAGGTACYGTGCGTTGCTGGTGAATAGCTGAGACTGGATCAGTTAAATGGAGAAGATAGGAAGAGGCTGGGACGGGTAAATGGACTCTTTTGCAAATGCCTCCTGACCCAGGTGYGCAGAGAGATTAGGAAAAAAAGAAAGAACACGCAGAGTTTGTTCAAGTTTGTGGGTGAAGAGCCTACAGGAGTAGTAAAAATGAAATGAAATTAAAAACACAAAGTAAAAAAACACAAAATAAAAAATACAAAATAAAACAAAAAAACAAGAAATACAAAATAAAACAAAATATCGCTGCATTTTGATTGCCACTCACCCAGCCACGTACTGCTGGATGCAGTCGAAGCTCCCCTGGGGGCTGTCCTTGCCGATATTTGACAGGTAGAAGGTGAAGGTGCGCACCTCGGCCGGGCGGTCGGGCCTCGGAATYGCGATGTGCTGCTCGGAGAAGAAGGGAAAATCAGGCACTGAAACTGCAGCAGCTCCCGGCTGTTCCGGAGCCCCAAGTGCAGGGATAACCRCGTAGGAGGGCGAGCGGCAGGATGCAGGGCGGCAGAACCCCCTATAGCAACGTAAAGGGCAGCCCCAGGTGTGTGCGAACAGGGGCCGGTGGCCGCTGCCTTTMGCTGCAGGGATCGGGATAATCCAGCTGGAGGAGCCGGAGCCAACTCCGTGTTGATCCAGGCTCGGCCTGGCTGCTGCTCACGTTCACCTGGAAGCACTTGAGCCTCGTTGCTTGGAGGCTGGTGATCCGGCACCAAGCAGAGCTCGTCTCGGCTCGCTCGGGAGCGCTCCCCGCTTGCTGGTTTTAAGAGATTRTAATTGCACGAGGAGATGTCACGGCTCACAGCGGCACGTGAYGCGGTGCCTAAATTAAATATCGAAGCAAGGACGAACCCGAGCGCCGCTGCTCCCCTGGCCGCTCGTTCCACAGCGTCACAGGACGGCTGAGCTTGGGAGGGGCTCTAGGGATCATCTCGTCCAACAGGACAACTGCCTCCCTCGGTGCACATCGAGGCACCCGAGCTCTGCCACCGCTCCAATACTGGATAATTATGGAATCGTTGAATCCTTAAGGTTGGAAGGGACCTCTAGGGATCATCCAGTCCAACCCCCTGCACACRCAGGTCACCCAGAGCACCCGGCACAGGCTGYGTCCAAGCAGGGTTTGAAGATCTCCAGGGAAGGAGACTCCACAGCCTCTCTGGGCAGCCTGTGYCAGGGCTCTGGCACCCCCAATGGTAAGGAATTTTTTCCTTAAGTTCCTGTGGAACTTTTGGGGCTTCAGTTTGTGGCTGTTTCCTCTAGTTCTGTAGGTGGCCACCGCTGCAAAGAGGCCGCCCCATCCTCCTCCCTGCCTCCCTGGAGGTGTCTACAGACACTGCTCAGGTCCCCCCTCAGCCTCCTCATCTCCAAGGGACGTTCCCTTGGGAGCAGCAAGGGGGGATCCGAGCCCCGAGCTCTCCTCCCAGCGAAGAGCCCCACACCGGAGCCGCGTCTCCTCTGGAAGGAGGACTCATTCCCAGTCGTATCCCAGGATCCGAATCTAAAAATACCCGGCGCTGGTTTGGCCCCGGCGCGAGCCCTATCGCCGGCGCCCGGGGCGGCCTTGGGCTCCTAATCTGCCCGTGCGCCCGCTCCCCCACCCAGCACCAAGGGCCTTTGGCTGCTTTTCTGCACAGCCCAGAGCGGGCACAAATCCAGAGTCCCGTAAACAGCAAATTCCAGGTATTTTACGGGCAGCACCATGGGTTAACACGGTGCGAACGGGGCGGGAAGCAAAGCAGGGCGCCCAAACCTGCCTTTCCCCAGCGCTGTCACGCTGGAATTGGGCTGCATACAACAGRTTTCTGCAAAAAATACCCTCTAAAATGTAACCAAACCGTAAAATCACATCCTAAAATAACATAATTTGCTGCAGTTAAAACTGGCTGCTACACRAGCCCCAAACCTTGGCATTTTTGCATGATTTCTGTCCCCGATGGGGCAGCTTCTTCAAAGGACATAAAACGGGAAGCGACGGAGTCGCGTTAACGTTAAACTTGGCTCGTTTCAGTACTGAAAAGTGCAGCATATGCAAAACGGCCGTTATCTAGGAATTATTTTTAGCCAAAACAGAAGGTTTCTTAAGCCACCAAGTCAGCGTGGTCACCGCTCGCAGGGAGCCCTGATGCTCAGCACTGCACCACTAACTACAGGCGCTTAAAAATAGCTCAGCACAGATGTGACTTTGCTTTTTCTTTCAAGTAATATTCATCTGTGTACAGCTCATTTTGAGCGGTAATTTCACCTTCTATTAATACCACCACTTCAGGCCAAGAAACGGGGGGAAAATACATTTTTTTCCAATCACATTTTGTTATTTTCTCCCCCCCAACAGCCGCATTTCAGAAATGGGCACCCACATGTCTTCGGAGCTTCTTTCCTGCCCCCATCTTGGCTCTTTTTTCAAGTGAGCACCTGCAAATTCAAGCCAGSCTCATCTTCAATTCAGAACACGCTTTTAACCAAAATAGAAGCATCTTCAGTCTTTCTTGTGAAGTTATGCGCCGCATCAACTGCCACCGTTTATAACAGCTTGGTGCTAAAGCTCTAAAATCCTGATTTACATGCAGCTCACTAAGCAAAACCCTCGCGGCTCCATATAAATTTACAAAACCTGAGGGGAAAAAAGAAGGATGGAGATGAATAAGCGTGACAAACGTGTTGCTCTTAAGGCAAATCCYGATAGCTGCAGCTTTATATTGCCACACGGAGCATCAGTGCAACCTGCCTGCTGCATCCTGCCCGACCTCAGGCTTCGCTCCTACCCCATTCCCTGCTCCATTTAATTGAAGAGGAAAGTTGTTTTCTGGAAATAGAGAGCTGAGAGTCTCCTTGGCAGAGTTCATTGTGCTGGAGCACTGGGAATAGCTTAGGAAGACAGGGACACAGCGAATAAAACCCTCCGTAGATACCAAATTCACTAAATAAGGAGGCTCCTGAAGGAGGAGAGGAAGCCGGAGGGAGAGGGATATTTATTTACCAGGAATAAGGATATTTATTTACCCAGGTAAAGGGTAAATAAAYATAATAAGGGAAGAAAGGTCTCACTCTTACAATCTGCTGTCACTGGACACTCCAAGTCACATGCTGACGTTTGTGTCTGACCCTCAACATTTATATAGAAATTGTCTCTGCAGCAACATTTATTAGGAAGTGAAATATGAAGGCAAAGAGGGAAAGAAAAAAACTGTGTGGGGAAAAAGAAGAGTATTGCAAAAATAAACAGCTAAACAAAAAAGTTTAAGTGGGATCATTTGAACCTGAGAGCCTGTTCAGTTACTGTATTTAGCCTTATCTTTTCAAATTACAGAACAGGCTCCAGAAAGTATTTACAGCCCTGCTGTTAATTCCTTGAAGCGAGGCTCAATCTTAACGTATATGAGTACTACGCTTAAAAACAGATGGTTACCCAGCTGCCAGCTTCTTGTCATAGCCGTAAAAATCATACGGAAAGCACAAAGAGCTCTTTCTAGCTGCCCCAATTGCAGCGCTCTCTTGAAAGCTCTACCTTTGGCCTTTACTCTGAAGTGCAATTAATTAAACAGCTGAAAAGGAGGCGCGGGGAGGTCAGCTCTGCGCTGCCAGCGTCCCCTGCACCCGCCGTGTCCCCGTGCYGCTCACGCCGGGCCGGTCTCCGGGTTTCGCTCTTTAAATGGCAACCGCAGGCGCGCGGCTCGAGGCCATCGCAGGCGACGGCATCGATTGCACGCAGCTGCCGGCGCTCACGGCGGAAACTTGCTTTGGGGAAGTCGAGGCCTCCAATATAACGAAGGGCATTAGTGGAGACTCTTCTTTTTTAAGCGGCTGCGCTGGTTTTGCGGYGGTTTTGCCCAGACGGAAAGGGCTCGAGCTGCACAAGGCGCTGCAGGTAGCGCCACGTSCACCAAACGGAGGCCGAGGGCTGCACTGCTTCCCGCTGCTCTGAATCCCAGAATCCCAGGATGGYTGAGGTTGGAAGGGACCTCTAGGGATCATCCAGTCCAACCCCTGCTCCAGCAGGGACACCCAGAGCAGGGGGCACCTGGGCGCATCCAGGTGGGTTTGGGAGACCTCCAGAGCAGGAGGCTCCGCAGCCTCCCTGGGCAGCCTGGGCCAGGGCTCGGGCACCCTCACACTGCAGAAGTTCCTCCTCACGTGGAGATGGGGCTGCCTGGGGTTCAGCTTACACCCAYTGCCCCTTGTCCTGGCACTGGCCACCACTGGGAAGAGCTTGGCCCYTTCCTCCCTACATTCCCCTTCAGGTCCTTGGACACATTGATCGGATCCCCTCTCAGCCTCCTCTTGTCCAGGGCCAACTCACTCAGTCTCTCCTCGTATGAGAGATGTTCCAGTCCCTTCATTTTACCACCGTTTATTCATTTTACCACCGCTTGTGTTTCCAGTTGCAGGAAAAGCTAAGWGCTTTGCAGAGGGCAGGGAAAGCGCGTGCAAAGCCGCTTGGCTTTTGCGGGCAAAGCCATCAGCTCCTCTAGCAACATCAAACCAGGCATCCTTAAAAACTCTTTCTCCACTTGCTTAAACTTAGTGAAACTTTAGTTGCAGATAAGCTTTCTGCAAAGGTTAATTCTAAACATMGGGAAAAACATAAAAAGGAAATTGCTCTTTATCAAGCATGACAAAAAGGGTTGACTTTTCTTCTAATCTTTGATAAGAAGCTCTTTCCAGCTCCTTTTTGTTMCAGTAGGATAGAGCTAGTGAGACTAATAGCACGAGGTTAAATATGGGTAAAATACTAGCCCTARATATTCGTTTTTACTAGTACTTGATTTTAGTACGGTCTTAATTCAGCATTTCTGAAAGCTTTCTTGTGCTCCRAAGAACAAACTAAACCAATTTACAACATGGTTCCTATTCCTGATCGAGTTTTAAATGGCATTTTGTTACCTGCCTTCCTGTCCTAAGCCTCTCAGCRCACGGCGTTTAAGATGACTCAATTCCCACACATCAACAGGCAGCACATTTACAGCGAAGAACATGAAATTATATCCCCCTTTCTTATGCAGAGCAGCCAAGTTAACACACATCTTTTTTTTTGTATTTAAAAGATATATGAACGTCATTTTTAAAGTTCACTGAAGTGTTGCATTACTTGAGCAGAAAAACTAGCAATTAAATCTCTGTATTGTCAGAAGCCAGAAYGACAGAGTCTCCAACTTCTATAAATACCTCGGGGGAGTTCAGTCATTGGAACAGAAGTTAAATAAGATTTTTTCTCCTAATCTATTTTCCTCTAAATAGAAAAAGATTTTTCATACTCCCAGAARCTGCACAGCTGCTTAGAAGTGCATATTAAATAAAGCTCTGGGACATTCATAACACCCTCCAAAAACTACCTGAAGGTAATTTACAGCCTCAAATCTTGCGCCAAGTTTCCCAGGCTTGGCAAGGTGTTTCTGCAGGACACAGGCAAGGTCTCCACGGATTGCTGTGCTCAGGACACTGTTACCTCATTACATTTTCAGTTTCCTGGTCCTTCACAACAGTTCGGCCTTATAAAAGCCGATTTCGCCACCAGCAACGCTTGCATCACTCTGCACAGCCGTGGATTTGGCAACGTGAGAAAAATCAGGGGAGGAAAAGAAGTTCTTGCAAAGAAATAACCCAGGGAATCGACGAGCAAACGCTCCTGCCTGGACCACGCAGGGATTCACATCGTCCAGAGGTCACAGCATCGCTCTGGAGCGAGCGTGGGGCCGACGTTCACACAAGGGTTGCGCTCAGGTAAGTGGACGAGCAAAGTAGGAAAGAGCTTCCCAAGGCAGCCCGTGCACAGACTTACCCCTTGGCTTCCTTGGAACTGGATTACTGGCTTTGATGTCACAGCATCCTACAAAAAACAAGGCAGAGAGATTCTCTTAGAGATATGAAATGCTCCAGCATTCAGTGTGAAAAAAGCCACTCAGCTTCATTTTTTACCAATATTTTTTCCTTTTTATTTTAAGGAAAAGGGTTCTAGGAGATATGCAGAATTCCAAGTCGGAAAACAGACTCCTGAAACAATGGTTTGTACCTCAAAAGGGATAAAACTGCCGTTTTACCCCTGCTTTAAATAATTACCTAAAAAATCCACCTCGGAGGGACCGAAAAGCCGACCACCTGGGTACCACTGCAGCCTGGGTTCCTCGCTGAGCCCTAAGCCCCATTTCCAGCACACACTTCGACTGCCCATCTCATCTCTCGTAATGTAGGAGTTAAAACAGTGGATGTTTCAGGGAAAATTTTATTACATTTCTAGCTCTGAGCAGGCACTATGCAGAGGATTTTTTTTCCAACAGAAACCTGGCCAAAGCAAAGCACGAGTCCAGTGCAAAACCCTGCTTTCCCGTTGCCCACTTCAAGCACCAAGTTTTTTCCTTTACACTAATTTGCTTACGTTTTGGGAGGTCACTCTGCTGGCAAGTTTAAATTACTGCCTGCTCAGGGCAGAAACGCAACTGAATTCAATTATTTGGGTCCTTTTGCCAAGAGACTAAAGCCTGGTCTTTAGCGCTGCTTTGCTGGGATTCGGCAGCGATCACCAAGGATTCAAATTCCGACTCGTGTTCGAGGTTTCTACCCCAGGGAAAGGGAATTCATGAAATCCAAACACACTRAGACAGAGGGTTTGGGGGTTTCGTTTCGCAAGTCTGGTGACGGTGTTGGGTTTATTTCCTAAGCTGTGCCAAGTGTTCCAAGAAACACTAAGACATATTCGTGCTGTGTGTGCTCCATGGGGTGGAAAACCAGGCTTTGTGTGGGTAACGCTCCGAATCCTCCGCAAGCCGGAGGATTTATGAACAGCTTGAGACGTCATTTAAAAACAGACGCATTTCCATGTAAATCAGAGATGTTTTCCCAGGTAAAATGCTAAGAGGAGCTTCATGAACAGGTTCAGACAGTGTGACTGTCCTGGCTGCGTTGAAACGACACTGACAAAGAATGGGGCTGATCTGCATAGAAAAATTTGTTGATTTGCAAAAAATGGACATTTACATCCAGCAGCAGAAGCCTTAACAGCAGGAAAGCCCRTAAGTTCCCCAGGTGCTCTTGCAAGACGCTCCCAAAGGCTTTCAGCCCAAGAGGGAAGGATCTAAGCCACGGCAAGGTGGCATTAGCAAAATAACAATGTCACCAGCAAGAAAAAATCCTTTACCGCAGATGAACAAGCTCGCAACGACACAAAGTCCTCGGTGCCTTTTAAGAGCCAGCCTAATATAATTTAAAAGGTCTGCATCGYACCCGAGGTCCTTAGATCTATAAGTTTAACGAGCAAATAAGAATCTGCCCAGAGTTGACAGCACTTGCAGTGAATTTTGCAGGCATGAAAAAACCTTTAGGAAGAAACAATAAACAACGTCTTGCTCTTCGCACAGAGATCACTAAATTCCTGGAGTGCCACGACACCGCATACCACAGCGCACTGTTCATAGGCAGCTTTTTGGCCAGCTTTTTGGTCACGGTGTCAGCATGTGCTGTGCAACGCGGCCCTGGCTTCATACAAACACGCTGGGGAGAACAGGCATTTGGAGGCGTGTAAAAGTTTTTGTGTTAAAGAAATCTCGGTCGATATCTTGTATTGCTAATTACAAATTCATGAGGGTCTCCGTTTAAATCTGGAGAATAAGTGGAATGAAAAGATAACACGAAGCGTGGAAGGGGAATAATGAAGCAGGGATGATATGAAGAGACTGCCACACAAATCAGGATAAGCTCTGACTGCAGAACTTGCAAATTCACTGATCTCTTTAGGACACGGGTTGAAATTCCAAGTGCAATCTCCAACTTAAAGATTAGGCTTCGTGCAAGTTAACCGGGCGGCTTTAGCGCTGCTTTATCGCGCTGCACTCCTGGAATACTCCACTTCTACTTCACTTCCCRTGCCCAGAGGGTGGCCAGTTCTCGTGCCGTGCAGAAACGTCAGCGTTAACGGCTCCATCCCGCATGGAGCACCACAGGGGAGCGGTGGATCCCGGGAATCCCAGCATTTTTGCATGGATATGGTGAGTATTATGAGGTTCCCTGCACGTCTTCTCTAGAAGAGCCACGCACGCCCCCGGGATAATTAGGGATTTAAGTACTTTTATTAGATAAAATTAAATTCCTAGGTGGACACCTTCATTCGGAACAAAAGCAAACAGATGGACTAAGCTGAACTGAATTAAAGTCGTATTTCAATTTATATTCTGAGCTTATTTGGATTAACTTTCCTGAATGCCCGAGCAGGCACAAACCCATGCTGGAGAGAGTTCTTATCACTTCCAAGAAAACCTCACCATCTCCTGGAAAACCAGCCAAGTTCCCTTCCTGGGAAAACCAACTACCTTTAGTGTCCAGTAACAACTTTTTTACCCTCTTTTTCCATTCCTAAAAAAACTACATTACATAAACTACAATTGCTACGGCATTATATATTTTAGCAACCCAGCTGCTCTGCCTTATTGCAGCCCTGTCTACCTTTCCCAGAGCCCGGCAAGCTGGGGGCTGCGGCGGATTTTTGGCAAATCCGAACTCCCGGTGGGACTTTGGTCCTGGGTTTGGCAACGAGATGGGACAGGAGCAATAAATGGGTCTGCAACTCAGCACCGGTGCAGCCTGCTCGCCTGACGCAGGAATAAAGCTGAAATCTGTTAGTCTAAAGCCTTAATGGAGCCAAGAATAACAACTGGAGGATGAATAGGATGGAAATATAAATCAATCACAGCGTTATTTTCTCTTTTAAGCAAGAAGGCAGCAGCTCGAGGGTTGTGGACCGGGCACCTCGCAGTTTAACAGCTTCCCCAGCACCAGGCTGGGTATAAGACACTCAACCTCCCCTTCCTCCTTTTCCATAAGCCCACAGTTACTTACAGCTTCCTACTTCCAGCAGTTAAAAGCTTTGCTTCCAAGTAATACAACACTAAGAAATAGTAGGAACACCAGAATGTAGAAAATTTGTGCTCATAATGGCTCTAAGAGCCACGAAAGCGAATGCAAAACTATTCAAATAGTTTCCTAGAAAGATCAGGGAAAGCTGCTGCGAGCTCTTAGGAGCATCAAGCAGGAAAACTCGGTGAGTTATTCCTGCACGGAGGCAGGAGCTACAGCCTGTCCAGGCCTGGATGGAGCATCTGGCTGCACGGAAGCAGCAGCTCCATGGGAAGGTCAGGAAGGTTCTGACATCCGGATGTTCCCATCGAGCGGCCGGCTGGAAATCGCCCCGTTTCTTCGGGGAAATGCAAATAGTTAAATACAGCGTTTCTGGAAGTTCTGCGTTTACTGGAATTCGCACCGGAGGCAGGGTTATATGGAAAATATTTGCCTATACTTGGTATTGGGGTATTTGTCTATTTTCTTGGATGCTGAGAGTGGCAACTGCAGMGCACACAAGGCAAAGGCAAACTTGTCCTTATTTATGCTGGAGCAAGGGAATTAGTTTCAGAATGCAAAGCTTGCAAACGTTTAAAATTAGTAGGGAGAATTCCAATATACAGAGGCAGCTATAAAATAACATCAACCCCAAGGCCAGCGATGGCCATTTCCATCTATGCTACCTATCAAGCCAGCTACAAAGACAAGAAAAACCCAAGCCACTTAAAACTCAGGCATTTCACACTMATATCCCCAGCTCAGCGAGGCTGCTCTTTACTTCTTGGGTTATTACTAGTTTGTGATTCTTTTATGCATGCAGTAGGTGCAAATAAACCTGCTCCTTGACTTCCCTTTGCTTCTCAGCACAGCTGCAGGAGGATGAAAGAAGGAAAGAAAGAAAAAAAAAATTAAGAATAGGCCATTCGGGCAGACTGAAGGTTTGTGCAGAGAAACAGAGCATCTTAGAAATTCAGGTTTCCACTTGCATTCTGCTTCAAATACATCCCGCAGACTTCGCAAAGCAAGAGAGCAAAACAAAGCAAATATACCCAGCGCCTCGCTGGGGCAGACTCTCCGGAGACCTATRCACCGGCGTCCCGAAGTTCATTAAAGTAGCAAAATATAAAAATCCCCGGGGAAATACCTTTGAATATACCCTTGGTGGCTTTCAAGGAGGCGGGTGCAGGGGGACGACGGGTTTAGTAGGAGTCGATTAGCAAAGTCGGCGTCCCGCAAGGCCGGCGCTGGGCGGGAGGCAGCAACCAGGGACGCTCTTTAACTCCCCTATTTACCTATCGGCTGCACAACATTAAAAGCTTTCGGAGCCTCTCCGTTATGTAACATCTATTACTTACAGAATTAAGACCCCGTCTTTCTGCAATACGCTGTGAATGGGTAATTTAAGGGCTCCTAATAGTTCCGGTTGAGGCTGCGGATGGAGCTGGGTTTGCAGAGACTCAGAAATGCAGGCAGAGATGAGCCCTCCCAAACCAAGAATACCAGACATCATACAGTTATATAAGATATACGGAATATACACTAAATTCCTTGTTTAGAATTGCCTTATTTTAAATTGTTTGTCGCGGTGCAGGTCATTTCCGCAGTCATGTACCTGCTCAGGCTCAAAAGCAGGACTGTGCCCTACAGAAAAATGAAGTTTTCTATTAAAAYGTCAGCACAGGGCTTAAAAGAGGTGACACTCGTGAGACCACAGCTCCGAGATGACTTCAGTTTCAGAGCTGCTTTGCAAGAAAGCGTGGCCAGCCAAACTGTGACACTGCTCCATGCAGTGCATGGGAGACGCCAGCCCGCTGTACACACAGAAAAGAGCACGGGTAGACAGTAAAACACGTGATGATGTTAAAAGCCATCGCCTGACCGGGGGCTTTGTGCCTGCAACGTAAAGCAGAAGCTCGGGGGCTGCGTGGCCAACAGCCCGAGTCAGCAAAGCGGGCAATTGCAGCGCTCTGTCATGGAGATGTCATCGCGCAGGCACGGGCG